ATTCATCACAATAGATGGGAACCTTGGTGGAAACAAGAATTCCCACAAATTGTTTAAGAGTACAGTAAATGAATAGTATTATAAACAAAAAGCCTAAATCCCTCGCAAATGTGTATGTTGCATTTGCCTACAGACTACCCCACTACACATTCACTGTGTAACTGCATTTATAGAAAAGCCGTCTGAACAACAACAACAAAAAATTACACCCTAACAAGAAGCATTTTCTATTTATAGATGTGTTCAAGTCAAACCACATTTGTCTCATGGTTTGGTTGGGTATTGGGTGGTTTTTTTTTTCTGTTAGTGACAGATTTTTGCATAAATAGGATGTTATGGGACAGAGTATGAAGTCAGGCAATTTTAAAGGCGGCTCCATTTTGAATTACTTAACTGACAGTGTATCAACAAACTAACAAACAGTAACTTTCAAAAAGTGATGTTTGGAGTTTATTTCTAAGCTTCTAAGCTACAACAACACAGAACACTAGAAAATCTAAACGACTGCATAGGAAGTAATCAAAGCTACAAACAAATGGCATGCTGACACCTTTTAAAACGACTTTTCTTCATTTATACTACTAGACAATCAAAATAAACAAAACTACATTTCCTCTATATAACGCATTAAGAAAACTTCTACATCTTGCATGAACTCTCATTATTTTCCAAGTCTCATCTCTCTATTCAATACAGTAATATGTAAACATACTCCACAAATGTGTTTTTGCTTTTGAGCAAGGTGCTTACAGGGAAACGATACATTTTCAGTCTACTTGTATGAATATATTTGAGAGGCAGAGGGGAAAAACCAGCCCTATTGCTTACTGTACCTTGTAAAGTATTTCTTAAAAATCCTTAGTGTTTTTATCCATGTAATGCAGGAGAAAAAAAGAAAAAGGACGTGGTTCTGTTCACACTACCTTTCTTATAGTGGTCAGAAATGACAATAATAGAAGCATAAGAGCGCAAGAAACAGTTGTCTAACGTACACACACCTGACAGCCCTTCTTGGAAAGTTGCGTTTCCCCTGTCAACAGCACAAGATGAGAGATGTGTATATGCATACACACACACACATATACAAGAACGTGCCTGGTTAAAACCACACCAGTGAGCAGCAGTACTGCGAAAAGCCTCATAATTCTCGTTAAAACAGCCCCCAACAAAGGAAACACCTCTAGATTCGTCTGACGAAGAAAAAAACCCAGCACATCGAGAGATCTCATCGGCCAGCCCCGCGACGGGCAGAGGAAGGAGGAGTACCCTGCCACAGCTCCTCCATCCTGCCTCTCAGCCGAAGAGAGGAAGGGCGGAGAGCGAAGGGAGGAGGCGAAAGCATGAAGGAGAAACGGCCCAAGCGGAGAAATATGCCGAGCATCGGCTCCGGCGAGGAGGAATCCCCATCTACATCCACACATACGCTCTTTAAAGGAAATTGGGGGGGGCGACCCCCCCACCCCCCGACATCCACTGAGGAGAGTTCTCCTCCTCGTGCACCCAGTTTCAATTTACTTCAA